TCTGTCTACTTTCTGTCCAATTTCTGTGCAACGTCGTGTGAAAACGCGGGGCACAAATCTAGTTTCTGTTAGGGATTTGTGTGGATTAACCAGCAGATTTGCCCCCGTGTGATAACGTCCATAGCTGCCCTTCCTAGTCCCAGTGTTCTGTTTTCCTGACATCAATCTCTGTTCTGATGGACGATTGAACCAATGTAGAGGAACTATTTTACTGTTTCTATTTTTTGTCATCAAAACTGATTTTTTGTAAATGTTGCATAGTCATTATTTTTTGTTTTCTTAATGTTCAACATTAATGTTCAGTATTAAGCCTGCTTTAGCACTTTCTTCTTTGACTTTCTTTAGTACCGTAATTGTTTCAACTGTTTGTTGTTTTCTGCTAGAGTACAGTAGTATAGTGTCATCGGCATAACAATATCTGCATATTCCTTCCTCCAATCTTCACTTCACCATCTTCTGAGTCTAACCCTGATCTGCATAATATATTTCTGCATACAAGTTGAACAAATAGGATGATGGAATACAATCTTGTCTGACCCCTTTGTCACTTTATTTCTCCATATAACAGTAGCCTCTTGTCCTGAGTACAGGTTTCTCATCAGGATTATCAGATGTGTTGACACTCCCATTTCTCTGAGAGCATTCCATAAGTTTTTGTGATCTATGCAGTCAAAGGCTTTACTGCAATCTATAAAGCACATAGATTTATTTATTTATACAGGCATACCTTATTTTATTTACAGGTACTTAAGAACTAATTACTGCTGGGGACCAGCATTTGAAGAATAAACCATGGGGTTTTATGGACCAATTTGAAAGGTTATGGCAGGGACATAATTTATGGCCTGCCAGGTATTTGTCTGCAGTTTTCACCATTGCTAAACTATCAGCTATGCAGGCTAGATTGGGTTGAGAGAGACTGCAATCCAACAGATCCCATAAACAGTTTAGGAAGATTGGGGAAGCAATAATAATTATAATAATAAAATGTATTTTTATCCTGCTCTTCTGCGTAATGCAACCGGAGTGGCTTACAACATTAAAATATACATTCATTTCCCACAATCCCACCCCCCTTAAAATACTATTAAACAGTGACAATTTAAAACACACTTAAAATAATAACACAAATAAACAAATAACAATAACTACAGCTGAATCAGGGATAAGCAGGATGGGCTGTCTTTTGATGGCTGGGATATCTATTCAGGAAAGGCCTGCCAGAAGAGATTCGTCTTAACAGCCTTTGTAAAGCTGTTTAAGGTGGTAATATGACAGATCTCATCCAGCAGGTCATTCCATAATCTGGGAGAGATTTCTGAAAAGGTCCTCTGGGCGGTTGCAGACAGTCTAGTTTTTATAGGCTGCAGCAAATTCCTCCCAGAGGACCTGAGTGTGCATGGTGGATTATATGGGAGGAGGCAGTCCCAAAGATAGGTTGGACCCAAGCCATTTAGGGCTTTAAAGGTGATGACCAACACCTTGTTTTGGGTCCGGAAACTAATGGGCAGCCAGTGAAGTGATCTTAAGATCAATGCTATGTGGTCTCTTCTCGTTGTTCCTGAGACCAGCCTGGCTGCTGTATTCTGTACTAGTTGAAGTTTCTGGACCATGTACGAGGGTAGCCCCATCTAGAGTGCATTACAAATATTGGTTTCACCTTTTGTTGCTGTTATGTGCCTTCAAGCTGACACTGATTCATTCAGAGGAGGTTTTGCCACTGCTGCCTTCTAAGGCTGAGAAAGTGTGATTTGCCAAAGACCACCAAATGAATTTCCATGGCTGAGCAGGGATTCAGATACTAGTCTTCCAAGTCCTAGTCAAACACTCAAACCACTGCACCAATGCTACTCAAAGTGATGGTCCTGGCCCAATGCTGGTCCCTGAGCCATTGGCTGCTGGTATCTGTAAGTTTCCAGGAAATAAAACAAACGTAGCCAATGGGCACAAATATGGTTCTGTTCCCTGCACACTGGGGGGAAAATGCTGGTCCCCACATCAGTCTGTGAAGCACTGAATTGCACCATGTTGTGTCTCACCTGTTTCAACTACTTGCTCTCTTTTGTTTTTCTTTTGAGCACATATATGTAATTTCCCTCTCAATCCTATGTATCTTCATTCAGAATGATGTTCCATTGAGCCCGGTGTCTGAGTTTTGAGTATGTTTTGAAGTGGGTAGGATTACCATGTGTCCTCCTTTTCCCAGACTTGTACTCTTTTTCAGAAATGAGGTTTTTGTCCAGGTGGCATTCTAAAATGTTCAGCTTTTCTTACAAGGTTCCCCACACTTCTGAAGCTGGGAAATGAGCAGCCTTTGTAAGTATGAGTATTGTGAAAGTATATGACAAATCTCTATATGCAGAATATCCCATCACTAGGGTTGGCCAAGAATAGAGCTTGTGAATTTAACCTCTACACTTTGCACTGATGGGACTCCAGAAGGGAAACAGGAGAGGGAAAGGAAAAAGGCAATAACAGTAGCTCTGGCAAGGAAGGAGCTATTGTATCATATGGAGTGGTTGTGGACTTCTTTCCTCTGCTTCAGAATACCTGGATGCTTATCCCCTTTTCCCTTTCTCAGGACCATCTGTTGTCCATTAGTTTAGAATGGTATATGAAGTCTGCGGGTTTGAATATTCATGGAGGGGCGACCACCATTAAAATCAATGGGGCACAGCCCTGTGGGTGTGTGCCCCATGTGCCCACAGGAATGTGTCCCATTCAAGCCTAATCTTGGGTGTGTGTGTCTAGAACAGATCCCCCATGAAAACAGAGGGCTGAATGTAATTCTATTTTAATATTAATTTTGTATATTTTTAGTTATATTGCTCTTTTTAAATTGTGAGCTGCTTTGAATCCGAGTTTTTTGGGAAAAGCAGGATATAAATATATACAACAACAACAACAACAACAACATTTCACTATCTATAGCTCCCTTTTCTGCTCCCTTTGAGTGTTTCTTTGTCTACCACTTAACTTTACAGGGCTGGAGAGGAGCAGGTGTAAGGGGTAGATTGCTTATCTCCGGTAGTCTTGGGATATTGCTATAGTAACCAGATCAGTGGTTGGTATTATTAAATATAACTAAATAATCAATTAAAATTGTTGTTATTTAAATACAATAAAGGTTAGGAATATATCTAATAGCAACTATCACAGCTTATATAGTAGGGGTATTTAATGTGAGAGTCATTGTGAGTGGTGGTTTGAAGTAGTCAGTAAATGTGTTTTGTTTTTTGAAATATGGTAACCCTTAATCATTACTGTTATGGAAGGAAGGCTCTTTGGGTTCAGTGGGGATTGATAAGGGGCCACAGGACTCTTCTAGAGGCATCTGTCTGGGCCGACTGAAAAACAGGCTGTTAGAGTTAAGCAGGCCATTGTTCTCGTCTTGTAGACCTCCTTTTACATTTTTCTGTGTTATATAATATTTTACAATACTATTATTAGTTTAGATTAATTGATAACTATGCTCTCTGTATCCAAGCTGTTTGGAAGAGATGAAATCACCATCTGAGTGTGATATTTTAGCCAATTTGGATTCAAGAAAGATCTCTAAATCTCCTCAATTTTCCTTGCATGGTCCTCGAGATCAGAAAATGCTGACTTAAATGGTGGCAATAATTTTGCAGTGATGAAAATGACTGTAGCAGATGACTAAGATGAAAAGCAAAGCTAATTTATTGACCAGCAGTAGTGTGCCACCCACAGACTCCTAAGAAAGCACCTTCTGTCTCTTCTTCCTCAAATAATCACTTCCCATCTTAATTACTAAGTGCTCTGAAAAGCATTTCCCTTGCCAACAAACAATGCAGCCATTTCTAAGCAGGAAGTTCCTCAAGGCAAGTAACTTATTTCTCTTGACCCAGGCTACAAAAGCTGTTTGCATTAAATAGTTTAAATATTAGATAAAATAAGATTACAGAAATGATAAAGAGTTTTAATAAAATGATACACATAGTAGATTACAGCAACATAAAATTACTTTCTTGTAGTGAGTTATCATTTTCACAAGGCTACACGATATCATTAAAAAAACAAGCTTACTCTAAATATCAGTTAACATTTTTTAAAAACTATATGTAGAATTTTAAATTTTAGCCTCATGAAACTTTAGTATAAATGCAAGATTTCATTACCACTAACCTGATTGTTAAATATATTGTTAGTTACTTGTGAATGCTACTATAGAAATATACATAGCCAGCATGGCGTAGTGGTTTGAGCGTTAAACTATGACTCTGGAGACCAAGATTTGATTCCTCATTTGGCCAGGGAACCTGACTGGGTGACCTTGGGCAAGTCACACACTCTGGGTGCTAGAAGACCCTATGATAGGTTCAATTGTATAAATTAATGTATAATTAACTAATAAGTAACATACTGTATAAATTAAGGTTAATTATACTAGACAGCCTAATGTTGTCACCCAAGTGCAATCTGTTAACAGCATTTTGTGTCTCAGTATTGTATTCTATTAATGTTTAATTTAATATTTTAATTATTTTTTTTGGGGACTAGCACTATTGCATATTTAATAAATGACAGTGCAAACATGTCTTAGGCTTTTATATGCAGTGGTAAGTGAACAAAGGCTTTACTTTGTTCACTTTAAGGCAATATTTACTTTACGATGGTGGTTTGTAACTTAACCCATCATATCAACAAGGTAGGCCTGTATAAATAAATAAATAAAATGGAGGAGGAGGAGGAGGAGGAGGAGGAGGAGAATGATAGTTAACTAACCAGGATTGGAAAGCATAGAATCATAGAGTTGGAAGAGACCACAAGGGCCATCCAGTCCAACCCCCTGCCATGCAGGAAATCAAAATCAAAGCATAGTTAGATCCTAGTTTATTTTGTTTAGCCTCATTTAGAACAAATCACAGTTTTGCAAGTTTGGCTGTAATCAGGAATGGAGGTTAACTTAAAAATAAAGCAGGAGCTCTTGATCTCTTTCTGTCACTTATAAAAGAGGAAAAGTGTGGAGGAATGCATAAGTGAGAAAACTTGTGAAGTTCTGCTATCTTTCCAGTTGTAGCACACACATGAACACACATACAAGCTTTTTGCTCAATATGTATGGACTACAGTATCCCATTGCACTAGATAGCATGCACAGAGTGGACATACCTGCTTTCCAAAATGCAAGGTTAATTGCACAGTTGAGATTCTGAAGTATTTCCAAAAATATGTCTATCTTGAAGAACACATGTAAAAATACAACCTTATTTTACCAATATATGTTTTGTACTACACTCCTTGAGTATAATCTATTGATAAAGTATTCTGCACAAATGGTAGAAAGATCCCTGTGTATCTTGTGTTCACAGTAAAAAATGTAGGTATGTTTATGAGAACTGAAATCATGATGAAAGTATGTTATTTTTGGTTTTATTCCAGAATACTATTTTTAGCTCTCTTTTATTCTTTGAAAGCTTTGCACAAATAATGCAGTCTTTAAGTTTAGCATCTTTTTGAATCCTCAGTATAAGTAGGAGTTGAAGAAGAAAGATTTTAGACAGAGAAAATTATAAGCCATATATAATAATGGATAGAAGGCTTGTGAAAGTGGGCTAGGATTGAATTTAATTACAAAATTTAGAATCTACGTTTGGTAGACATGTTAAAGACAGTGACAGTGAGATGAATGATAAGTGTTCAAGACTGTAATATTGTTACAGAATATAATAATTTAAATTGAGAAATATCAAAAATGTTCTGAAAAGATATTGATGAGGCAGATTGTGCTTTGCAATAATTTAATACTACAGTTTTAAAAAGCACATTAAAAAAAATCAAAATAGTTATGAATGAGAGGGAAATCTTATAAATTAGCTTACATTCTTTGCCCTGAGCAAAACATAACTGTATCAAGAAAAGTAAAATAATCTTGTTTTAATTCATTAATTTAATAAAACCATATTCCTGGTTTATATCAGTCTTTTTCATAGCCAATATTGGCAGTGTCAGTTATGACCCTTATTTAAGCTAATACTTACTTGTCACCCCATATTAATGGAAATTGCAGAAGAGTAATAGAAGAGTATCATTTCTTGTGGTCCACTTTCATGAATGCCATATCCTCATTTGAACATGGATTTCTTCATTGATAACAATAACATCTCATTGCTGTCTAATGGTATCAGCCTCAATTGTCATGACCTCGAACTGCCAAAGCACTTGCTTCTGTTGTTAATTCATTCATTGTACTAGTAAAACTAAAGGAAAAAAATTGATTTCTAAAAAAGTCATCATTTGATTTGTGTCAAAAAGGGAATTGTAGCATTGGAAAGGACATTAAGAAAACACAGAATTTATTTGAATTTTTTTTAATGGTGTACAATATTGACCCTGTTATAGAGTTCTACCAGAAGGTCATTAATGAGGGTATTTTCACATAAATGACAAGGCATGGTATGGAAGGGGGAAAAAAAGAGAGTAAATATAATGAGCAAGCTGGCATGCCTATGGAAGTCATTTTCTAAAATGGCTGTGAGCCAGACTCTTATAGCACCCTTAATGGCACTTTCATCCTCAAACTTTGTATCAAACCATAGGCTTTTAGGTGTAACAAAACTGAATGGTAATGTTCCCAAAGACTTTTCAAACTATTCAGCCAGGTATCAAAATAAATAAATTGTGTGTGTGTGTGTGTGTGTGTGTGTGTGTGGGAAATGCTTCATGAGACAGGTGCAGCAGCAAGATAGATGGTGGTCATTTTGAAAAAAGGCTTCTGCAAACTCATGACAATTTGCTCATGATGACCACCTACTATTTTTCCACAATTCAAAGCCATGTCTTACACATGATTGGAGTGAAAATTGGCATCAGTAATGTCTTTTCTATGGAACTCTATTACTGAAATGGGACTCAAAGTTACTGATGGATGTACATATTCTAAAAATCAAGCAACATTAATCATAAGAAAAAATAGGCAAAAACATTTTATTAGGAAGCTACAAGTATGAGACAATCATTAGCATTAATTTAATATCATTTATTAAGCTGTACTGGAAGAGAAAGAATGAGAGTGGATGAGTGTAGCAAGAGACACTGTTTTGTTACTCTAGTGTTGCAGAAAGATAAAGAAATGAAAAAGCAGTCAGCATGTGTGAATTCAATAAAGGAAAAATGTGTGGTTTGTTAGTGCTTGACTACATTCTCAAGGTTTGTGAGCTGGCTTGGTCCTATGTCAGAGGTTTAACTCCATTCAGCTGTGCTGACAATGGATATTAGATCAGTACGTTTGAGAAAAATGGAGATGATCAAACTTAATTACGGGGGGGCACACATGTTTTGAAACAGATCAAATATTTTCTAATGCTGTGATCTTCTTTAGCAAGCTTTATTGTAGGAAGCTCTGTTAAAAACAGTGAGGCCTCCCTCTGAGCAGATATTATAGGACTGTAGTGTTGTTGAATATATATCCCCTGCCATTGAAATATGCATCCTTGCTATTGGTGGGATATTTGAATTGTAATAATTGGGCGCAGTACAAAGTGTTGGTTATTACCTTTAAAGCCCTACATGGCTTGGGCCCGAGTTACTTGAAGGAACACCTCTCCCCACATAATCCTCCCCGCACTCTCAGAACAACTGGGAAGTATTTATTAGATCACCACAAAACCAGATCGAACTCTACTTCCCATAGATCATTCACGGCTACAGCCCCAAGATTATGGAACAGCCTGCTGGAAGAGATCCGTCCTATCACTACACTAGATGCCTTTAAGAAAGCACTTAAGATGGAGCTCTTCCGGCGGGCCTATCCATCTGATCTTCTGGATTTCTAGACTCTGATGAGAATTGGCTATTATATTATATTATATTATGTTATATTTTCTTATAATTTATTATTGTTGTTTTGACTTTACTATTTTATTGCTTGTATTTTATACATTGTATTCATTTTATTCTGTAATCCCACCTCGATTCGTAGGGAGAGGTGGGAAATATAAATAAAAATTATTATTATTATTATTATTATTATTATTATTATTATTATTATTAACTTGGGTGCCTATTAAGATGGCCATAAATGCCTTTCAAACATGCATTTTCGAGTACAATCTAAAATAAAGTAATTTAAGTTGATGAAAGTAGACAACAAATATTATTAGATCTCATCTGCACCAGCCTGTCAGTATACCTTAGCAGCAGTACAAAACAAAGAAAAGTCATAGGACTTTTCTTAAAGTCCTATGAAATTGGAGAGAGGGGGAAGTGAAGAGACGCATCTATAATGATTTTCCACCCAGTCTTGAATAAATAGCATTTTTCTTATACTGATGTAAACAACATTCTCTGTGGTTCTATTTTATTTAACACCATTTAGAAGCCTGCTTATTTACATTAGTCAACCATAAACTGAAACCTAATAAGGAGAGACAGTCCCAGATAATGATGGAGAGACATCTTGTTGTTATAATAAGTAAGACCCAGGAACGTTGGAGTGACAGTTACAGGGACACAGCTGCCAGGCCACAGAAAAGGAGGCCTCTCTTTTTCCCTTTGTGCAAGTAGTCATTACGCCATGAACTAGGAAACAGCAAACATAAGTAGATAAAGGATTAATTATCACTTTAATTATCTCTGAGATCAAAAAGAGCCTGTTGAAGAGATGTGAACTCCATTTGAGGTCTGAGGCTAGCATATTTTCCCCACCAATTCTAATTTATTTCCTGAGTTTTGATGGTTAAAAAAAGAAGCAGCTTGAAATGATATACCTCTAAAAACCCATGGCCATTAGCTTCTGCTTTTCTATCTTCCCCAGTTTGTTTTCTTTGGGTTAATGTTAAGAAATCCCTTTCAGAAACCACTTCTTAAGGCGTGACTTCTTGGAATACACCAAGTGTGATAGGTTAATATAGATAATCAGAGCTGGGAAAATTAAACTGGGCAATGGGGTCTCAGAGTTGTAGTCCAAAATGTAATTTTTTCAAGTTCTCTACATAATTTTACTTTTAAAAAAAATTTAGACTTGATTCATACCCATTTTTCAACCAAGGTCCTGAGCTATGCCTTTAACAGTAGCTTGATTTGCAGTCATCTTCATACTGTAAAAAGCTTGACTACTCATTCCTACAAGTCAGGCTGGTGAAAAATTAGCAACTCAAATTTCTTCCTTATGTTGTATGTCTTGCGATTTCTGTTACTGAAAACCCAGAACTAATGCAGTGAGTTAGAGGTGTCTCCAAATGTCCATCCGTCCATCATTCTTTTGCTCACCATTGAGAGGAACTATTGGAAGTATCAGGAGACTAGACAGTG